CTCGAAACAAAACCCACCCCTCCCTTTTGAGACTAAGTCCAAATTGTTTCCATGGAAACTGAGAAAATAATAAATCACAAATATCTGCAAATAGCAAAAGGCACCACTTTGGCATCTGCCTCACATATCTGCCAAGTTTTGCTGAAAGATATTAAGAAGTTTTCCAGTTGTGCTCCGGAAACGAAACCCATCCCTTCCTTTTTGAGACTAAGTCCGAATCATTTCCATGGAAACAGAGAAAATAATAAATCACAAATATCTGCAAATAGCAAAAGGCACCACTTCAAGATCTGCCTCACATATCTGCCAAGTTTTGCTGAAAGATATAGAGAAGTTTTTGAGTTGTGCTCCGGAAACGAAGCCCACCCCTCACTTTTGGGACTAAGTCCGAATCGTTTCCATGGAAACCGGGAAAAATAAAAATGCCAAAAATCTGCAAATAGCAAAAGGCACAACTTTAGGATGTGTTTGATATATCTACCAAGTTTTGTTGAAAAATATTATACGGTTTTTGAGTTGTGCTCCGGAAACGAAAGCAATCCTTACTTTTTGAGACTAAGTCCAAAATGTTTCCATGGAAACCAAGAAAAATAAAAATGCCAAAAATCTGCAAATAGCAAAAGGCACCACTTAAGGTTCTGTTCCATACATCTACCAAGTTTTGTTGAAAAATATTGAACGGTTCTTGAGTTATGCTCTGGAAACGAAGCCCACCCCTCACTATTGCAAGTAAGTCTGAATCTTTTCCATGGAAACCGGGAAAAGTGAAAATGCTAAAAATCTGTAAATAGCAAAAGGCACCACTTTAGGATCTGTTTGATATATCTACTAAGTCTAGTTGAAAAATATTGAATGGTTCTTGAGTTATGCTCCGGAAACGAAACCCATCCCTTCCTTTTGAGACTAAGTCTGAATCATTTCCATGGAAACAGAGAAAATAATAAATCACAAATATCTGCAAATAGCAAAAGGCACCACTTTGGGATCTGCCTCACATATCTGCCAAGTTTTGCTGAAAGACATTCAGAAGTTTTCGAGTTGTGCTCCGGAAACGAAGCCCACCCCTCACTTTTGGGACTAAGTCCGAATCGTTTCCATGGAAACCGGGAAAAATAAAAATGCCAAAAATCTGCAAATAGCAAAAGGCACAACTTTAGGATGTGTTTGATATATGTACCAAGTTTTGTTGAAAAATATTATACGGTTCTTGAGTTATGCTCCGGAAACGAAAGCAATCCTTACTTTTTGAGACTAAGTCCAAAATGTTTCCATGGAAACCGGGAAAAATAAAAATGACAAAAATCTGCAAATACCAAAAGGCACCACTCAAGGTTCTGTTTCATATATCTACCAAGTTTTGTTGAAAAATATTGAACGGTTCTTGAGTTATGCTCCGGAAACGAAGCCCACCCCTCACTTTTTGGACTAAGTCCGAATCGTTTCCATAGAAACCAGGAAAAATAAAAATGCCAAAAATCTGTAAATAGCAAAAGGCACAACTTTAGGACCTGTTTGATATATCTACCAAGTTTTGTTGAGAAATATTGAATGGTTCTTGAGTTATGCTCCGGAAACGAAGCCCACCCTTCTTTAAGACTAAGTCCAAAACGTTTCCATGGAAACCGAGAAAAATAAAAATGACAATAATCTGTAAATAACAAAAGGTCTTTGAGTTATGCTCCAGAAACAAAATGATTACAGGGCTGACGGACGGACGGACGGACGGACGGACAGACGGACGAGGCGACGACTATATCCCACCGCATTACATAAATTGGGATAAAAATGTTACTTTGGGATCAGAAACCGTACTCGTCTTCTTGCACAAGCAAGTTATGTTTTTCACTTGCCCGAAACAAATATTACTCGTCAATAGGAGCGGACGAGTGGAATTTTCGATCCCTGGTTACCTCTACAATGTGTAACATTGTGGTCTAGCAGTCAACGTCCTTTGGTGGATTAGAAGACAAAGTAGATGTGTTAAACCAATTGTAGCAAACAGGATTGCATACATACAGGAACATACAAAAATCAGTCAATGGAAATACGTCCCTTCCAAACAGAATGCTGCAGACATTCTTCGCAGAGGTGCAGATGTTGAAACATTTTCCACTGATAAATGGCTGCATGGACCTACATTTCTGACTCGTGATGAAGATGAATGTCCAGTTGCCTTTGAAAATGGTGAAAAATCTGGACAAAAAAGGTCTTAGGTAAACTCGGCCATGTTCACTCAATCTGAGTCAGATACTGAGCGGTTAGAACCAAATAGATTTTCTAGCTGGAAGAGACTCTGCAGAGTATATACGGTCTACAGGTTTCTCAACAATGCTAGAGCTCACTGTTCACTTAGAAAACAGGTTGAACTGGATGCGGAAGACACTGAGGACACAGAAACAACTATACTGGTAAGAAATCAAAGGGAAGAATTTTCTCATGACTATTCTTCACTGATGAGAAAATCAGAGTTGTCAGCAAACAGTAAGTTGATAGGCTTACAGCCTTTTGTTGATGACAATGGACTAATGAGAGCAGGAGGCAGACTGAGGTTTGCGGATGTATTGTCTTTTGATGCCAGACATCCTATTATACTCCAAAGACATTCCTAGGTCACCAAACTGATTGTCAAGTAATATCATGAGCAGGTGAGTCACATGGGTACAAATAATACATTGTCAGCCTTGTCCACTAGATTCTGGGTTGTTTCAGCTAGAGAGGAAATACGTCAGTGGGAAAGACAGTGGGAAAAAGCCAAACCAGCATATCAGATAATGGCAGTTCTCCCCAAGGTTAGGGTTTTCATGTTCAATGAAAGCATTTGTGACAACAGGCGTGGATTATGCAGGTCCATTTCACACGGTACAAGGTCTGAGGTAAGAGTCGACAAAAACGTTATCACTGCCTATTCATGTCTGTCGAAACGAGCAGTACATTTAGAAATGGCTTTTGGGTTAGACACGGGTTCGTTTCTGAATGCCTTGTTTCGTATGGTGCACAGACGAGGTATGCCAAAGGAAATAATCTCAGACAACGGCACTAACTTCGTTGGTGTGGCAAAGGAGCTGAAACAGCTAGCTGCTGGCAAACTTTGACAAACAAAAGTGTCAACTGGTTGTTCAATCCCCCAAATGCACCATGCTTTGGAGGAGTTCAGGGGATATTAGTGATGACGAACTCATGACAGCCGTCATAGGAGTGGAAGCTCTTATGAATTCTAGACCTTTGACGTATCAAAGTGCACATCCACAGGATGATGTTCCACTCACGCCAAATCATTTCCTGCATGGTCAGGTAGGTGGGGAATTTGCACCAGTGTTGGACTCTACCTCCTTCAGCCCTAAGAAACGATGGAGAAGAGTTCAAGAACTCATCAGACACGTGTGGAAACGATGGATGAGAGAGAAATGGTTCCCACCATCCCGAGACCTACAGGTTGATGACATAGTGATAGTAGTATCTGCGGATACCCCTCGTGGAGTTTGGCCTATCCTGGAAAGGATGGTCATGTGCATGTTCTTGATGTTCAGGTTGGCTCTACAGTCTTGAAAAGGCCAATCACAAAGGTCTGAACTCTTGAATGGAGTTGAATGCTGAATTTGTGAAATGATGCTTGTAACAGCAACTGATGTACATACTCATAGTTTTCCTTGTTTCTCTCATTTAGTCAATTTTAATGATAGATATGGGTCTATCATGGAGGGGGGCATGTTCTGAAGGCATTTTGGTTTTATCCCTAAAACTGCCCGCTCAAACACACCCAGTGCAAACTGGTCATGGTCAATACACTCGGAGATGAGTGCACGTGAAATGCAAGTTGGATTATTGTTGCAGGGAAGTGAATATTACTGTCATTGTCTGCAATCACTGCTCTGAGTTTCATATCAGGAATCAAGATGCAATAATATTCAATCGTGTAATTCAGTAAGTACAAGAAAATATTGTATGTTCGAATTGGCCTTAACCTCCACGTTTATGGATAATAATAATGTGCCCTTTTCTCACTGGTATTAACATGCAAACTATCATTTCAATTGTCCTTTATTTAATGAAGCCAAACTGTTTGAAATGATATGTTCCTTAACAGCAACATTAAACAAGCAGGCAGGGCTAAGAAGTGTGCAAACAATTCAGTAAGCTGAATGTTAACACAAAGATAGTTCAAGAATCTAATTCAATCAACACTTTACCCTGAGATGAGTAGCTATTATTCCCTGTAAAAAGTGTTAAATCAGCTGATCTGTATCAAGCTCCCAACTAATCCCCAAGGGTTATGAAGGGGCATCTAATTGGCAAGGAGCTCTCAGGCCATCAGATGTTTGATTGGAAAGGGGCACCTGACCATCTAATTGGCAAGGAGCTCTCAGGCCATCAGGTGTTTGATTGGAAAGGGGCACCTGACCATCTAATTGGCAAGGAGTTCTCAGGCCATCAGGTGTTTGATTGGAAAGGGGACCCTGACCATCTAATTAACATGGAGCTCTCAGGCCATCAGGTGTTTGATTGAAAGGGCACCTGACCATCTAATTGGCAAGGAGCTCTCAGGCCATCAGATGTTTGATTGGAAAGGGGCACACTGACCATCTAATTGGCAAGGAGATCTCAGGCCATCAGGTGTTTGATTGGAAAGGGGCACCTGACCATCTAATTGGCAAGGAGATCTCAGGCCATCAGGTGTTTGATTGGAAAGGGGCACACTGACCATCTAATTGGCAAGGAGTTCTCAGGCCATCAGGTGTTTGATAGGAAAGGGCCACCTGACCATCTAATTGGCAAGGAGCTCTCAGGCCATCAGATGTTTGATTGGAAAGGGGCACCTGACCATCTAATTGGCAAGGAGATCTCAGGCCATCAGGTGTTTGATTGGAAAGGGGCACCTGACCATCTAATTGGCAAGGAGCTCTCAGGCCATCAGGTGTTTGATTGGAAAGGGGCACCTGACCATCTAATTGGCAAGGAGATCTCAAGCCATATAATGTTTGATTGTCATCAGATGTCCTCACCTCGGGGCCTCCTCCTTGTCGGTGTGAGGGGTCATCAGGCTCCCTCTGGCTAGGTTTCACTATCTCTGTGGCAGCACTCTCTGGGTGTCTCTCATCAAGGCTTTCTTCTGAGCTCAATGCAGTATTGATGCAGGACTACAGTAAAAAAAACAAAGTTGAACTTATACACCTACCATGAATAAATAGAGAATCTCACCCAAGTGTCTTCTGATATCAATTATATCAACACGAGTTGATAAAGTTACAAATATCCGAGGCTTGCCGAGGATATTTTTACTTTATCAACGAGTGTTGATATATTTGATATCAGAAGACACGAGGGTGAGATTCTATTTATCATCCAAAATCACTCTTCATTAATTTTCAATGAAAAATGTACATCTCTGAACATGGTACTGCCATTACACTTGCAGTGCAGCGATGTCATAGCATTGTGATGTCATCAAGTACATGACGTCATAGCATTGTCAGGGCATTGTACAAAATCTACTGTCAAAGCGATATCTCCTAGGAGATATCGTTTGATCTCACACAAGCGATATCTCCTGTGGAACACAGTTTTGGATGATAAATGCCTTTTAGAAGGTGGTCAAATGTAAGAATTGTTGTATTTAAGGTTAAAATTCCTAATACTGCATTTTTTAGTTGAGACCCAGGATTCTAAAGAAAGACAATGGAAGTCCAACAAATGGTAGTCTAGATCAGCACACTGACGGTGTCACAGCTTGAATGGCATGACGAAATAGTGGCTGTTCCGTTTCTGCGGTTTCACCCAGCCGCGACAGATAACAACTTTTGCGTTTTCAATGATGATAGTTTCTTAAACAACTTTTTTGGTGGAGTCCAGAAAATTTTCAAATATAAGAAAGCTGTTGGGTATTAGTAAATGATAAACATGTGTACTATTTATATTTATTTGGCAATTTTGTACAATGATAAAATTTGCAATTCATCGCTCCATTTCTGACTCAAACGGACTGTACAGTGGTGCAGACAACATCTGCGGTGGAGAGCATGTGATTGGAGACATCTTCTCTTCACTAACAAGTCCAGATTCCTCTTACATCACGCTGATGGCCGAACACAAGTTTATCGGCGACATAATGAGGAACTGTGTCCTTGAGGCCAACCGTTTTGGCGGCAGTGGAGTGATGGTTTATGGTGGGAGCAATGAGTGATGGATGTTCACCTTTGCTTGTCATCAATGGAAATTAACGGGTCTCCCGTACAGAGAAAAAATTGTTATTCCAGTCGTCCTACCGTTTCTCCAGCAGAATGGTCCAGGAGTGATCTTCCAGCAGGACAACGCCAGACCTTCCTTCCCTGGCCTGCTAAATCCCCATATCTGTCCCCCAGTCACACTTCAGGAACTCTGCCAGGTTCTTCCACAGATATAGAATGCCATTCCACAAGACTTCTAGCGACGTTTGATTGGCTCAATGAGGCGCAGTTGTCAAGCATGCATAAATACTCATGGTGGACATACACGTTATTGACTGTGTGAATTTCATTTTGAACTTTCTCTCACTGTGTCCTCCTTAGCATGTGTCCGTCAGAAAAGTTTAAACTGTGCCATTTGCTATTTCCTATTACGGAATGATTTTCTTGCAATATTAAAAAAGTCTCATCATAAAAATATCAATGGTTAATTCTATAAACAATAATAACTATAAACAATGAGTTGATACTGGGTAATCATCAGAAAGGGAGATAACTCACAACAAACATGTAAAATGTAGTCATATGAAGAATGCGTAAAATATGTTATGACATTTTAAGAATGATCACTGTTTTTTATAGCTGATAATGATGAAATAGCTTCAGCTAAATTATAACCTGCTGAGTTGACTATCATGTGACATCAAGTCAGTTGAGGCATGTTGTTTTCATTTCATAGTTCATCAGAAACTGACCTAAAATTGGGTTTTGCTGAGAAAGAAAACAAATACATTTAGGTGGCAACACAATTTGTAGGCCGTACGGTAGCTCGAGCAAAGTTTAGACACTAATTCATACACTGGCTACAAACAGAACTTGGTGCTTCGTCATCCAACATCAAAAGCTGTAACAGAAAAAAAGGACACCCTGGGAACTCCTTTATTACCTGTAACTCAGCAGCGCTTTGCTCATCACTTGTATCTGTTTGACCTTCACCTTGACTGCTGCTGACATGTATTGGTAGGAAGTCATCGTCACTGTCATCTCTTTGGACAGCTATAGTAACGACTTGGGGAGCCTTCCTCAGATGCATCACAGCCTCGAAATGACTCATGTCAGACATGTCCTGACTGTTCACCTGCAAGTGGTAGATTGACAATGTCAAACTCGCCAGTCCATACAGATGTTTTCATCCACATTAACAGCAATGGTAATAACTCGAAGAATACGACCTTCAACACTTGTTTGTCTTATTTCCACAAACTTCTTTCTGATCCATAGGTTCAATTTGAATAAACATTTTACAAGACTATAATTTTCCTTAGGGTACCTTAAGGAAGGTACTCTGGGATTCCTGGTGGAAGGATGGGTGGGCCTATTCTTCAAGTATTAGAGGTAATATTCTAAGAATTAGTATTAGTGTTGATAATGTCCAAAATTCTTATGAATATGTCCCTTTAACAATTGATTGCCAAATTCCACATCCCGTTTGGTGGGCCCAGAGTACCCCGTACTAGGTTAGGAAAACAACCATAAAATGCACAAAACCAGTATGTTATGTAGACCTTCATTTGGTTATTGTGACAACACTCAAGAACGTCTACTGGTGCTGTATTTCCTGGACGATATCACTTCCAGTGGTTATCTCCCAATTGACAGACACCCATTTGACAGACACTGAACTAGAAGCTTAATTCGAAGATTAATTGATAATCTGTCTTATCTTCTCAAAACTGTTTTTACAATCAATTATTATCGAATATAAAAACAGGTTTCTTTTCTAAAGATTGTAACAGTTTATGTCTTTGAATAGTATACAATGGACATTCAAGGAAGTAATGAAAAACATTCTCACATCCATGGCCACGTTGACATGATGCGTCATTTTTCATATTTATTCTAAATAAATCATAACTAAGTGCATATATCTTATATCTTAATCTTGTGTGCAAAACATTTAACTTCCTTATTCCATATGAATAATATTTAGGTGTACATTTTTCTTTCATGTGGACACAAGATTTAAATGATGCAACAGAGTCGCAATTTCTAATAGCTAAGGGTATATTATTCCACATTTTAACAGCTGGTGGAACAAAAGATGCTGTTGACATCTTGTGCATGGTTTTCTGGAGATAGCTTGTCCGGTCGGTCGCCTACTACAGGTGGGAGTAAGGAGTATCTCAACTCATAGCTTGTCGTCGGCCGCCTGCTACATAGCTTGTCCGGTCGCCTGCTACATAGCTTGTCCGGTCACCTGCTACAGGTGGGAGTAAATCCTGAAGAAAAACTAGTGTTGTTCTATCTAGTAGGAACGTTTTCAATATGATGAGAAGGTTAAACCCAAATGTTTACGAAAATCAACAGTTTATATGTTGCAGCAATCAAAATTCAAATTTAATGACATGTATTTTCGGCCATCTTTCACAGTAAATAATACAGCTCCATTTGTTTTCCTGTATTTTTATTTGGACTATCCCATTATAATCTGCAGGTAACAGGTAGTAACTAATGTGTTCACTGTAAATGTTGTTGTTTTAAGGTGTCTGCGAACTGCCGGTCTGCATAATGGGAGGACACCCTTCCAGTTAGTATCTCATCCACTCAAATGAATACCAAGTCACATCCCTATCTGGATATACCTGGGCCCTTATTCTCGAAACGTTTGTAGCCCTAAAAATTCTTAACTTTGATCATAGCAAATGTGTTAAGAATGGGCTTAAGAAGTTTGTAGGGCTACGAACGTTTTGAGAATAGCTAGCCTTCTTCCTATCTTAGTCATGGTCTACCATTTGAGGCATTAGGGTCAACTATATGCAGCTAAAGACTCTTATAAGATGGCCCTGAATGTCTTGGGTCACATCCCTCAGGTACAAAACATGAATGTGTTTGATGAAACCCAAGCTGACATGATCTGTTCAATAGATACTGTCCTCCGTGAAGCCAAGGATGTGACTTTGATTCTTTGCAAGGAACTCCGGTAAAGTCCTAACTGGAACGGGGTGGTGGGGTAGCCTAATGGTTAAAGAGTCGGCTCATCACGCTGACGACCCGGGTTCTAATCCCCACATGTGTGAAGCCCATTTATGGTGTCCCCCGCCGTGATATTGCTGGAATATTGCTAAAAGCGACATAAAACCCAACTCACTCACTCACTGCTAACTGTAACTCTGGATGGATCTTTATATATCTAATCCAATAACCGAAGGCCGGCGTGTCATTCTGAAATTCATGATGCTGCAGCTTGAGCCTTAAAGAAAGCTGTGTTCCTTGTTTAGTAAGAACAGACAATAATGCAGAACAATAAAACTTCTATGGTTCCATGCAGAAGATGTAGATGTTTTCTGAGATGTAGAAAATACCTGCAACCATCAGCACTGTTATAAGGACATTGTCTGCCCCTGATCTGATTCTTCACTGCTAGAATCGGTCCTATTCATAGTCAAATAAAGCATATGTTGAAGCTCTGAGTGCCTGTGTAACAGCTGATGAAACGTTGGCCAACAAGATATAGATCTGGGTACCATGATTGACCCAATATTGCTGAGCGCCAGGCAGGGACCAACAAGTACCATATTTTAACGTCTTTTGGTATGATGCGGCCAGGGATTGAACCCACGACCTTCCATTCTCCGGGTGAACCCTCTAACCACTACACCACGGAGGGGTCCAACTCCAAAGAATCTTAGATGCAGTCAGCCTTTGAATGTAAGACCTTCCTCAGAGGAATCTCGCAGACATAGGGAGTCTTTTAAAGAGGAAACAAGTTGGCATTTTGTTGAGACAACTATGAATCCTTACACATTGTCCCCTGTGGAAATCATCTGTCTGAGGTATTCAATGAACTAACTTGGGTGGCCATCTCAGATATTTCTGGATGAGGACCTTTGGATCGAAAATAATTCTGAGGTCTGTTGATTTTTGTGGGGGGACCAACAATACCGGAGAGAAGAACCCTAGCTCAGGTGTAAAGGGTTCTACCGAACGACCAAAAGCTAACCTTATTCTCATTTTCAAAAACAGCTGACAAAACGGCTGCCCACTTAACCCCGTAATACTTCATAGGGAACAGTGGCATCAGTGTCCGATAGTCTTTGCGTAGAGTCCTTGCTTCAGCCAACCAAAAATTTATGAGGAGTCAACTGGATTTGTTTTACCTGGCTGGAAAAAACTCTTCCATATCCTCTGGATGGAGTCTTGGATGTTCTTGGTATCACGACAACCGCTAGAACTACTTCTGTGTGCCCTACACAGCCTGTTTCCAGCGGGCTCAGTGAGGACAGGACTTGCTTGCTGCATTTTTACATGCCAGGATGAAGTCAAAGCTTTATGGATCTTCCCATCCTCTTCAGACTTAAAACCTCTAATGCTTCTTAACTTTTGCCATTGGATAGCTGATCATCTATGGGTTGTGAATACAGCATATTCCCGATCTCATGGGATATAGACAGATGCAGTTGTATTTGGTGATCCTGTCTTAATAAGGTAAACTTGACTGCCAGGTTGGCCATTAAAACTTCAGAGTAGAACACTGCTAACATGTGATGAACCAAAAGTTAGGTCTAAGTTGTGGTCCGCAGGAGAAGATAGAGCTGTAGGGTCTAAGTTGTGGTCCGCAGGTGAAGATAGAGTTGTAGTGTCCAAGTTGTGGTCAGCAGGTGAAGATAGAGCTGTACAGACCAAGTTGTGGTCCGCCGGTGAAGATAGAGCTGTACAGACCAAGTTGTGGTCCGCAGGTGAAGATAGAGCTGTAGAGTCCAAGTTGTGAACCACAGGTGAAGATAGAGTTGTAGTGTCCAAGTTGTGGTCAGCAGGTGAAGATAGAGCTGTAGAGTCCAAGTTGTGGTCCGCAGGTGAAGATAGAGCTGTAGAGTCTAAGTTGTGGTCCGCAGGTGAAGATAGAGCTGTAGAGTCTAAGTTGTGAACCACAGGTGAAGATAGAGCTGTAGAGTCTAAGTTGTGAACCGACAGGTGAAGATAGAGCTGTAGAGTCTAAGTTGTGGTCCGCAGGTGAAGATAGAGCTGTAGAGTCTAAGTTGTGGTCCGCAGGTGAAGATAGAGCTGTAGAGTCCTTGTGGTCCGTTGTGAAGATAGAGCTGTAGAGTCTAAGTTGTGGTCCGCAGGTGAAGATAGAGCTGTAGAGTCTAAGTTGTGGTCCACAGGTGAAGATAGAGCTGTAGAGTCTAAGTTGTGGTCCGCAGGTGAAGATAGAGCTGTAGAGTCTAAGTTGTGGTCCACAGGTGAAGATAGAGCTGTAGAGTCTAAGTTGTGGTCCGCAGGTGAAGATAGTGCTGTAGAGTCCAAGTTGTGAACCACAGGTGAAGATAGAGCTGTAGAGTCCAAGTTGTGGTCCACAGGTGAAGATAGAGCTGTAGAGTCTAAGTTGTGGTCCGCAGGTGAAGATAGAGCTGTAGAGTCCAAGTTGTGGTCCGCAGGTGAAGATAGAGCTGTAGAGTCTAAGTTGTGAACCACAGGTGAAGATAGAGCTGTAGAGTCTAAGTTGTGGTCCGCCGGTGAAGATAGAGCTGTAGAGTCTAAGTTGTGGTCCGCAGGTGAAGATAGAGCTGTAGAGTCCAAGTTGTGAACCCGCAGGTGAAGATGTGAAGATAGAGCTGTAGAGTCCAAGTTAGAGCTGTAGTGGTCCGCAAGATAGAGCTGTAGAGTCCAAGTTGGGAACCACAGGTGAAGATAGAGCTGTAGAGTCTAAGTTGTGGTCCGCAGGTGAAGATAGAGCTGTAGAGTCTAAGTTGTGAACCACAGGTGAAGATAGAGCTGTAGAGTCCAAGTTGTGAACCACAGGTGAAGATAGAGCTGTAGAGTCTAAGTTGTGGTCCGCAGGTGAAGACTGTGCTGTAGAGTCTAAGTTGTGGTCCGCAGGTGAAGATAGAGCTGTAGAGTCCAAGTTGTGAACCACAGGTGAAGATAGAGTTGTAGAGTCTAAGTTGTGGTCCGCCAGTGAAGACTGTGCTGTAGAGTCTAAGTTGTTGACCGCAGATGAAGATAGAGCTGTAGAGTCCAAATTGTGGTCCGCAGATGAAGATAGAGCTGTAGAGTCTAAGTTGTGGTCCGCAGGTGAAGATAGAGCTGTAGAGTCCAAGTTGTGGTCCGCAGGTGAAGATAGAGCTGTAGAGTCTAAGTTGTGAACCACAGGTGAAGATAGAGCTGTAGAGTCTAAGTTGTGAACCACAGGTGAAGATAGAGCTGTAGAGTCTAAGTTGTGGTCCGCAGGTGAAGACTGAGCTGTAGAGTCTAAGTTGTGGTCCGCAGGTGAAGATAGAGCTGTAGAGTCTAAGTTGTGGTCCACAGGTGAAGATTGTGCTGTAGAGTCCAAGTTGTGGTCCACAGGTGAAGATAGAGCTGTAGAGTCTAAGTTGTGGTCCGGCAGGTGAAGAAGATAGAGCTGTAGAGTCTAAGTTGTGGTCCACAGGTGAAGATAGAGCTGTAGAGTCCAAGTTGTGGTCCGCAGGTGAAGATAGAGCTGTAGAGTCTAAGTTGTGGTCCGCAGGTGAAGATAGAGCTGTAGAGTCTAAGTTGTGGTCCTTGAGGTGAAGATAGAGCTGTAGAGTCCAAGTTGTGAACCACAGGTGAAGGTAGAGTTGTGGGAGTCCTAGAGTCCATTGCAAGTTGGGTCCAGGTAGATAGAGCTGTAGAGTCTAAGTTGTGAACCACAGGTGAAGATAGAGCTGTAGAGTCTAAGTTGTGGTCCGCAGGTGAAGATAGTGCTGTAGAGTCCAAGTTGTGAACCACAGGTGAAGATAGAGCTGTAGAGTCTAAGTTGTGAACCACAGGTGAAGATAGAGCTGTAGAGTCTAAGTTGTGAACCACAGGTGAAGATAGAGCTGTAGAGTCTAAGTTGTGAACCACAGGTGAAGATAGAGTTGTAGAGTCTAAGTTGTGGTCCGCCAGTGAAGACTGTGCTGTAGAGTCTAAGTTGTGGTCCGCAGATGAAGATAGAGCTGTAGAGTCCAAATTGTGGTCCGCAGGTGAAGATAGAGCTGTAGAGTCCAAGTTGTGAACCACAGGTGAAGATAGAGCTGTAGAGTCTAAGTTGTGGTCCGCAGGTGAAGATAGAGCTGTAGAGTCCAAGTTGTGAACCACAGGTGAAGATAGAGCTGTAGAGTCTAAGTTGTGGTCCTCCGGTGAAGACTGTGCTGTAGAGTCTAAGTTGTGGTCCGCAGGTGAAGATAGTGCTGTAGAGTCCAAGTTGTGAACCACAGGTGAAGATAGAGCTGTAGAGTCTAAGTTGTGAACCACAGGTGAAGATAGAGCTGTAGAGTCTAAGTTGTGGTCCGCAGGTGAAGATAGAGCTGTAGAGTCCAAGTTGTGGTCCGCAGGTGAAGATAGAGCTGTAGAGTCTAAGTTGTGAACCACAGGTGAAGATAGAGCTGTAGAGTCTAAGTTGTGCTCCTCAGGTGAAGATAGAGCTTCACACACACACACACACACACACACACACACACACACACACACACACACACACAGACACACACACACACACACACACACACACACACACACACACACACACACACACACAGAGTCAATCTTGACACACAGACCATCAGTCTGAACACACACACAGAGTCAATCTTGACACACAGACCATCAGTCTGAACGCACACACGCACACAGAGTCAATCTTGACACACACAGACCATCAGTCTTCACTCACTCACACACACACACACACACACACACACAGAGTCAGCACAGACCATCAGTCTGAACATACATACAAATACAGTCAATCTTGACACAATATAGAATAATAGTTGCTTGACAACGGTAAAGGATCTGTATCGAAACGTCACACTCACGAAATAAAGAAGCTGTTATCCATAAAAAATTGTTACATATTGTATGTCTCAACTTCTAAAATGCCACTCAAACAAGTAATCTTGACACACACAGACCATCAGTCTGAACACACACACACACACCATATGACTGTCTCAACACACACACCATCTGACTGTCTCAACGCACACACACCCCATCTGACTGTCCACACACACACACACACACACACACACACACACACACACACACACACACACACCATCTGACTGTCTCAACGCACAATGACTGTAAGTGCAACATACCCTGATGAGTTTATCTCCAACTCTCAGTCTTCCATCAGAAAGTGCTGGGTCTTGTACAATACCCTTGATGTAACAGCCGCCAGTTGTGGTGGCACCACCTGCCACTGTGAAACCAAGCCCTCCCCGCTGGCGTTTACACAAAGTCACCTCGAACACCTGCTGATATCAAACATCGCTATATTACTAGTGTTCTTAAGACAGCTACTGTTTGTATCATTGCATCGCTGCTGGGAAACTGTTTGAAACATTGTTCGTATTGTTACATTGTTGCGGAGAAAACTGTTTGTATTGTTACCTTGCTGCTGAGAAAATTATTGAAACATTGCTTGTATTGTTACATTGTTGCTGGGAACGGTTTGAAACATTGCTTGTATTGTAACATTGTTGTTGAGAAAATTATTGAAACATTGTTTATATTCTTACATTGTTGCTGAGAAAATTATTGTATTGTTCCTAGTATTGTAACTATGTTTTATAACAAAAATATTTCCAAGACAATTGTTCTGGATGCCTCCACTAACACCTGTCATATGTCACTTACCTGTGTGGGAGTTATCTGCTCTGGTGTGGGAGTTATCTGCTCTTGTGTGGGAGTTATCTGCTCTGGTGTGGGAGTTATCTGCTCTTGTGTGGGAGCTATCAGCTCCTCTACTGATGCCAGGCTATCATCCACATCTTCAACTTCACTGACATTTTTGTTTCCAGAGACTTGTTTCACAGCATTGTCTCCTTCACTTATCTCTGTGTCAGATGCTACATGTTCCTGTCGAGTCAGTGACTTCTGATTAATAACATCCTCCCTGTGCCCCACCACACCACTCAGATGCTCTGAACCAAATACAGGATGGCAAGTCACACCAACCTTCTTATCTACCTGTACCAGTTTTTTATCTGTTTGTTCCATAATTTGATCAGTTTGCTCCAAATTTTGATTTGTTTGTGCAACAGTAAGACTGACAGTAGACTCTGAATCACTGTCAGAGGCCTGCGAGCGTCTTGTAAATCGAGGCCTTGGTGTGTTCCCTTCATCCTCAGAGTCTGACTCAAAGTCTGAGTCAAAGAGGGAGTGACCATCCTTGTCATAGTAAACTGGCATCCTCAGCTGGGAGATGAGTGAGTCTTCACTGTCCTGCAACATCAAGCACAAAATCATTACTAGCTTCTCTTAAGAGGATCAGGGAAGTATCAAGGAGAAGACAAGGGTATGGACAAGAATGCGGAGAGTAAGAGGAAATAGTTGGGTGTTGTTGGAGGATAAAAAGGATGGATGTACAGGTGGGGATGAGATGAAATATGAGGTTGTGTGAAGACAGGATGACTAAATGGCAGGGTCTGGGGCAAGATGAGGAGATGGGTGGAACCTGTGAGAGGATCAAGGAGAGGATGAAGGTATTTGTGGAGGTGGGTAGGCATGATGAGTTAAGGGGATGTTCTGATTTGTTGGGGTGATGATCAGATGCATTGGTATGGAGGATGTTCTTGGGAGATGACAGGTAGGTGCGGTACGAGGAGTATCAAGGGAAGGATAATTGGTTGCTTGGGGATGGAGGTGTTTCCTGGGGAGGATGACAGGATGTGGGGGGATGACAGGATGGTTGGGGCTGAAGGAGTTTCTTTGGAAGAATGATTGTTGGTTGCTGTTGGAGAAGGATCTGGGGAAGGATGACAGGTTGGTTGGTGTTGGTTGGGGTGTGTGATGGGATGGTTGGGTTACAGGAGGGTCTAGGGAGTGGGAAAAGATGGTTGGGTTAAAGGAAGGTCATGGTGAGTGTGATGGGATGGTTGTGTTAAATGAGGGCCTTGGGGAGGGTGATGGGATGGTTGGGGTGGAAGGAGGGTCTTGGGGAGGGTGATGCGGTGGTTGGGTTTGAAGCAGGGTCTTGGGAGTGGGATAAGATGGTTGGGTTAAAGGAACTTTTTCGGAAGAGTGATGGGATGGTTGGGGTAAAGGAAGGTCTTGGGGAGTGTGATGGGATGGTTGGGGTGGAAGGAGGGTCTTTGGGAGGGTGATGGGATGGTTGGGGTGGAAGGAGGGTCTTTGGGAGGGTGATGGGATGGTTAGGGTGGAAGGATGGTCTTGGGGAGGGTGATGGGATGGTGTAACACAGCTATACTGTGAAAAACTGTTAAGAGGGTCAAGCTACCATGAGGATTGTCATGCATACCCCAAGGGAGTTACTGGAGTGATTATTCGGTGTGATTATTCGGACAGTTATGATCTATGACCCTCAGTTTAAAGACGTAACTCACATAGTAAATTATGGGTCACTGTCACAGTACATCGCCCAAAATAGTAGGTGAAAGACAATGACCAGATACTTTAGACAGGGGCTATAGGTCAAGTGCCAATAACCAGGTGCGATAGCCTGAGGCTGTGGGGGAAGTGTCCTCACTCCAGTGCCGGAGGCTAATCGTGATAGAACTGTCAAGACCGCATGACCGAGAGTAAAAAGGGAAGTCACGATCCACTACCTTTAAAAAGACAAGTTTTTTGTGAGAGGGAAGAGAAACAAAGAAGTACCTTCCTGAATCAGCGAAACGTGTTGTGTTACAATAATTGGGTTTGAAGCAGGGTCTTGGGAGTGGTATAAGTTGGTTGGGTTAAAGTAAGGTCTTGGGGAGTGTGATTGGATAGTTGGGTTAAGGAAAGGTCTTGGGTTGTATGATGAGATGGCTGGGTTTGAAGGACAGTCTTGGGAGTGGGATAAGATGGTTGGGTTTGAAAGAGGATCTTGGAGAGAGTGATGGGATAGTTGGGTTTGAAGGAGGGTCTTGGGGAGCGTGAATGGATGGTTGGGGGAGTTGAAGGAGGGTCTTGGGGAGCATGAATGGATGGTTGGGGTTGAAGGAGGGTCTTGGGGAGCGTGATGGGATGGTTGGGGTTAAAGGAAGGTCTTGGGGAGTGTGATGGGATGGTTGGGGTTGAAGGAGGGTCTTGGGCAATGTGAATAGATGGTTGAGTTAAAGGAAGGTCTTGGGGAGGGTGATGGGATGGTTCGTTTGAAGGAGGGTCTTGGGGAGCATGAATGGATGGTTGGGTTAAATGAAATTCTTAGGGGAGGGAGAATGATGGGATGGTTGGGGGATGGTTGATGGGGTAGGTTGTGGAGGGTCTAGGGGAGGGTCTTGATGGGGATGGTTGGGGTTGAAGGAGGGTCTTGGGGAGCATGATTGGATGGTTGGGTTAAAGTAGGGTCTTGGGGAGGTGTGATGGGATGGTTGGGGGTTGAAGGAGAAGGTCTTGGGAGGCGGGATATGGGATGGTTGGGTTAAAGGAAGGTCTTGGGAAGTGTGATGGGATGGTTGGGTTTAAAAAGGAGGGGTCTTGGGGAGTGTGATGGGATGGTTGGGTTTGAAGGAGGGTCTTTGGGAGCATGATGGGATGGTTGGGTTAAGGGAGGGTCTTTGGGAGGAGGATGGGATGGTTGGGTGGAAGGAAGGTCTTGGGGAGGGTGATGGGATGGTGTAACACAGCTATACTGTGAAAAACTGTTAAGAGGGTCAAGCTACCATGAGGATTGTCATGCATACCCCAAGGGAGTTACTGGAGAGATTATTCGGCGTGATTATTCGGACAGTTATGATGTATGACCCTCAGTTTAAAGACGTAACTCACATAGTAAATTATGGAGTCACTGTCACAGTACATCGCCCAAAATAGCAGGTGAAAGACAATGACCAGATACTTTAGACAGGGGCTATAGGTCAAGTGCCAATAACCAGGTGCGATAGCCTGAGGCTGTGGGGGAAGTGTCCTCACTCCAGTGCCGGAGGCTAATCATGATAGAACTGACCGCATGACCGAGAGTAAAAAGGGAAGTCACGATCCACTACCTTTAAAAAGACAAGTTTTTTTGTGAGAGGGAAGAGAAACAAAGAAGTACCTTCCTGAATCAGCGAAACGTGTTGTGTTACAATAATTGGGTTTGAAGCAGGGTCTTGGGAGTGGGATAAGATGGTTGGGTTAAAGGAACTTTTTGGGGAGTGTGATGGGATGGCTGGGTTAAAGGAGGGTCTTGGGAGTGGGATAAGATGGCTGGGGTGGAAGGAGGGTCTTGGGGAGGGTGATGGGTTGGTTGGGTTTGAAGGAGGGTCTTGGGAGTGGTATAAGTTGGTTGGGTTAAAGTAAGGTCTTGGGGAGTGTGATGAGAGGGCTGGGTTTGAAGGACAGTCTTGGGAGTGGGATAAGATGGTTGGGTTTGAAGGAGGGTCTTGGGGAGGGTGATGGGATAGTTGGGTTTTGAAGGAGGGTCTTGGGGAGCGTGAATGGATGGTTGGGGTTGAAGGAGGGTCTTGGGGAGCGTGAATGGATGGTTGGGGTTGAAGGAGGGTCTTGGGGAGCGTGATGGGATGGTTGGGGTTAAAGGAAGGTCTTGGGGAGTGTGATGGGATGGTTGGGGTTGAAGGAGGGTCTTGGGCAATGTGAATAGATGGTTGAGTTAAAGGAAGGTCTTGGGGAGGGTGATGGGATGGTTCGTTTGAAGGAGGAGGGTCTTGGGGAGCATGAATGGACACGAACCAGTGGATGGATGGAATGGACCCAGGACATGGAACGGAAGGACTGTCACACACCCAAGGATGGACGGATGGAGCACATGGATGGACACAAAGGAATGGATGGATGGACACATGAGGTGGAATGGACACAAGGTCTTGGGGACATGGACACATGGGAGGTGGAATGGATGATGAAGGAGGGTCCTGGGGACAATGGAATGGATCCCAGGGTCTGTGGAATGGACGGAACCCATGGAGTGGCCCGGGGGAGCGTGGAATGGATGAAGGTCTTGGGGAAAAGGTGGAATGGAAGGAAGGTCTGTGGAGTGGATGGATAGCATGGAAGGAGGGAGCATGATGGATGGAAAGCATGGAGGGGAGGAGTGGAAGGAAAGGAAGTGAACACGGGGAGGGTGGATGGACATAAATAATGGAAACAGCAGTGGCCAAGCACATGGATACACACGCATGGAAAGACATGGAGAGAGCCCAAGTGGATGACGGATGAAGCAGTGGATGGAAGCCAAAGACGACACACACAGGTGGCCGGACCAGCCACAGAACCAGGAAAAACCCAGTGAAAGACAATGACCAGGACATGGACTGACCGCCTGGACCGCTGAAAAAGTGGAGGCTACGACCCGAGGAACTTTACCATGGACAAGGAGAGGGAGGCCACATCCACACCTGAAAGATGAAAGGAGAGGGAAGAGAAAAGTGGAATGGGAGTGGACAAGACACAAGGAGTGGATGGACATGGAGTGGTCTGAGTGAGACAAGACACATGAGGAGGGACTTGATCCCAGAGGATGGACATGGCCTGGGGAGCGTGGAATGGACACAATCCCTGAGCGTGGACAAGGATGGAGGTCTTGGGAATGGACACAAGGAGGGCGAGTGGATGGACGTATTGGGGCATGAATGGAAAAGTGAGTGGATGGATGGAAGGAAGGAGGAATCATGACATGGACAAGGATGGTCCCAGGAGCATGAACGGAGGACTGGATGTCTCAGATGTGACACATGGTCCCAGAGCATGGAATGACACAAGGAAATAGGTCTTGGGGAGGTGGACCCATGGACAGAGGTGGATGGACACATGGTCCCAGGAGTGGATAACCAGGACAAGGAGGAGTGGATGGACCAGACACACCCTGAGTGGATGGAAGGAGGATGGACAGAGGTGGAAACGGATGGACACATGGAGGAATGAATGAATGGCCACGGAAATAAGGAGGTGGATGGACCAAGGGAGGGGAATGGAATGGAGGATGGACACACAAGGAAGGTGGGGAGTGATGGAATGGTCCCAGGCAATGGATGGACACACAAAGGAGGGTCTTGGGAGGAGGATGGACACATGGAGGTCTTGTGGATGGACAGACCTGATGGAATGAAGGAGGTGGATGGACATGGCCCCATGGATGGACCCTGGAGGAAATGGATGGACAAAGAAGGAGTGGTCTTGTGGAAATGGAATGAACGGAAGGAAATAGTCTTAGGAGGTGGGATGGACCAAAGAAGGAGTGGTCTTGGGGAATGGAATGGATGGAAGAAAATGTGGAAGGTCCTTGTGGAGGGTGATGGACACAAGGAAGGAAGGTCTTGGGGAGTGGATGGACGGATGGAAGC